GCTGCAACCAAAAAATGGCCAGGCATTGTGGTGGTCCCAGCTATTTGGGAGGCAGAGGCACGAGACTTACTTGAGCCCAGGAGTTGGAGGTTGCTGTGAGCTGTGATTCCATAGCATTCTACCCAGGGAGACAGCTTGAGGATCTGTCTCAAAAAAAAAAAAAAAAAGAAAGAAAAGGAAAGAAAAGAAAAGAAAACCCAGTCATGTGATTACAGATTAAATATTACTGGGCTATAGCCTATTAAACTCCAAAAAGTCTTGATAGTTTTTTTGTATTCATATGACTGATATTGTTATTTTCAAACTCTTTGTCAATTTCTAAAAGGAAGAAAAGAATGAAAGAAAAAAAGGAACAGATGGGACATAACAAATGGCATTTGAACCAAACCATACCAATAATCCCACTACATCAGCGGTTCTCAACCTGTGGGTCATGACCGCTTTGGGGGTCAAATAACCTTTTCACACGGGTTGCCTAAATACATCCTGCATATCAGATATTTACATTACAATTCATAACAGTAGCAAAATTAGTTATGAGGTAGCAATGAAAATAATTTTATGGTTGGGGGTCACCACAACATGAGCAACCGTATTAAAGGGTCGGGCATTAGAAATGTTGAGAACCACTGCACAATATGTAAATGGTCTAAATAGTCCAATAAAAAATGGGAACTACCTAATGGGATAAAAACATAAGGCCTAATTATATGCTACCTACAAGAAATGCACTTGAAATATCCAAATACAATAGGTTAAAAGTAAAAGGATTTTTAAAACATGCACAATGCTCACGCTAATCAAAAGAAAGCTGGAGTAGCTACATGAAATATAAGCAAAATACTTGTTGAGAGTATGGACTACTACCAGAGATAAAGAAGACTATTTCCTAATATAAAGGGGGTCAATTCATCAGTAGGACATAAAATCCAAAACATTTATGTGCCTAATAACAGAGCTTCAAAATACACCAAGCAGAAAGTGATGGAAACTATAAGCAGAAAGGGAGAAATCCAACAAACATAAAATCTGTAAAAGCATAGAAGATTTAAACTACACTATCAACCTACCTGATCTAGTTGACATTTATAGAACATTCCACTCAACCACAGCAAAATACACTCTTTAAAGTGCACATGGAAAACAACTAAAATGCATTCAAAAAACAAATTTTAATAAATTTAAAAGGATTCCGGTCATACAAACTGTATTCTAGAAACACAAGGGAATGAAATTACAATCAGTGAAAAGGAGCTGGGCGTGGCTGCTCACAGCTGTAATCCCAGCACTCTGGGAGGCCAAGGTGGGTGGATTACCTGAGCTCACAGGTTCGAGACCAGCCTGAGCCAGAGTGAAACCTCATTTCTAAAAATATCTGGGTGTTGTGGCTGGGCACCTGTATTCCCAGCTACTCCGGAAGCTGAGACAACAGAATCGCTTGAGCCCAAGAATTTAAGGTTCCTTTGAGCTATGACGCCAAGGCACTCTACCAGGGGAAACAAAGCAAAATTCTGTCTCAAAAAAAAAAGAAAGAAAGCAAAGAAAAAAAGAAATCAGTGAAAACAGAACTTTGGAAGTTCTCCAAAATATCCAGTAAGTCAAAGAAGAAACCAAAAGGCAAATTAGAAAGAATCATGAACTGTAGGCAGAATAAATGGAACAGGATCAGAAAGTAACAACTTTTGAGATGGGTGTGTGATAGCTCATTACATTTTTGTGTACATTTGAAAATTTTAATACATGGCTAAAAAAAAAAAAAATTAAACAAACCAGAATGCTGTTGTGTCAGAAATAACACAATAGAAGTCTCCTTTTAAAATCCATAATTCTTAAACCCATTCTTCCTATTGGGATCATCCATCACAGTTAACTGCACATTTTCTTTGCTCCCAATCTGCAAAATATTGCCTTACCCCTCCATCAATTGAGAAGATCAAATGGGAAATTTCAAAAAGAAAACAAAAATACCTGGGGCGGCGCCTCTGGCTCAGTGGGTGGGTCACTGGCTCCACATACCCAGGGTGGCTGGTTCAGGCCTGGCCCCAGCCAAACTGCAACAACAACAAAAAATAGCTGAGTGGCAGGCACCTGTAGTCCCAGCTACTGGGAGGCTGACGCAGGACAATCTCCTGCGCCCAAGAGTTGGAGGTTGCTGTGAGCTGTGTGATGCCATAGCACTCTACCAAGGGCAATAAAGTGAGACTCTGTCTCTACAAAAAAAAAGGAAAAGAAAACAAAAATTCCTACATCCTGAAAAGGCAAAGGCATTTCAGGAAACACACACCTCAAACTTTGCTACTGAATGTGTAATACCAGCCTTTCTTTTCTCCTCTACGATCTACTCTCAGAAAAAGAAAATGAAATGAGATACTAGGCCTTTCCTGAGGAACAGTCTTAAGTTAGGACATATATCCTCTTCTGTAACCCCCCCCTTTTTTTTTTGAGACAGAGTCTCACTATGGTGCCCTTAGTAGAGGGCTATGGCATCACAGCTCACGGCAAACTCAAACTCTTGGGCTTAAGCTATTCTCTTGCCTCAGCCTCCGGAGTAGCTGGGACTACAGGCACCCGGCACAATGCCTGGCTAGTTTTTGGTTGTAGTTGTCATTGTTGTTTGGCAGGCCCAGGCTGTATTCGAACCTGCCAGCTCCAGTGTATGTGGCTGGAGACCAAGCTGCTGAGCTACAGGCACAGAGCCCTCTGCTGTACTCCTATAACCTACTCCTTACTTAATATAAAAAGTCAGAAGGAAACTACAACAGTCCTACACCTCTGTATCAGAAAGAAGGGCCAGATCACAGCTATTTGAGGCTAAAATTTATTTCTTGATTCAGAGCTGTCCACTGGAGACACAGCCATGCATTCCAGTGCTACAGGTTCTGAACTGTGTGGCTGGCTCCTGGAACATTCTCTCTGGAATTACTCCCACTCCTGGAATCCCATCCCATTTCCAGTGTCTTGTCTGGAACGTACCATCAGCCCTAAAATTCTCATCTCAAGACCAGGTCTCTGGCTTGGAAATAACTACTATTCTTCACTCAGGGGCTCCAATTTCTTACTTCCTGCCTGCCTGCCACTTCCCTGGACTCAGTCCCCTTAAGAATACCAGAGGCAGGTGAGAGGACATCAGGAGGAAGCAGTAAACTTACAACTACCATTCCCAAAGGGGATGGATGCAGAATTGAAGCAACATAGGTCTGTACCAATGGGCAACCACTGTGGTCAAAACAGAATCCAAGTCCTTAAATCCTCCAAGAATAGGGTGACCAGACGTCCCACTTTTGAACAATTTGTCCCGCGTCCCGCGGCGTTTTAAAAAAGTCCCGATTTTTGGAAAGAATGCACGAAGGGGCAGGAGAACAGGAAGGGAATATACGGTTTTCAGCTGCTATGTGGCTATTTCGCCAGAATATGAGTTTTATATTATTTTTGTTAATTTTATAATGTTAAACTATAATAATAACAAATAATTGTTGAGAAATGGAGAACTGCTTATCAAAGTTTGCATT